AGACAGGCTTACTCTTCTGATGTGTGCCAATGCTAGTGGTGATTGCAAAGTGAAGCCTTTATTGGTGTATCACTCAGAAACTCCCAGAGCGTTTAGGCAAAAGAATGCCCTCAAGGCTAATTTGTGTGTGCTGTGGAGGGCAAACAGTAAGGCATGGGTCACTAGGGACTTTTTCTATGACTGGTTACACCATGCTTTTGCCCCCACTGTGAAAAATTACCTACTTGAAAAGAAATTAGACCTTAAGCACCTCCTTGTATTAGACAATGCCCCTGGTCATCCTTCAGACTTGGCAGAGCGACTTTCTGCGGACATGAGCTTCATTAAGGTCAAGTTTTTGCCTCCTAATACCACTCCTCTCCTGCAGCCCGTGGACCAGCAGATCATTTCCAACTTCAAGAAACTGTACACAAAAGCTATGTTTCAAAAGTGCTTTGTAGTGACCACAGAAACTCAACTGACTCTAAAAGAGTTTTGGACGGATCACTTTAATATCCTCAATTGTATAAACCTTATAGGTAAGGCTTGTGAGGGAGTGACTAAGAGGACCTTGAACTCTGCTTGGAAAAAAACTGTGGCCAGAATGTGTAGACAAAAGGGATTTTGAAGGGTTTGAGGCTAACCCTGAGAAGTGTATGCCAGTTGAGGAATCCATTGCTGCATTGGAGAAGTCCTTGGGGTTGGAGGTTAGTGGGGAGGATGTGGAAGAGTTGGTGGAGGAGGACAATGAAGAACTAACCACTGATGAGCTGCTGGATCATCTTCAACAGCAAGAGGCCAGACCTGAGGAAACTGCTCCAGAGGAGGGGATAGAGAAATTGAGGAAGTTGCCTACTTCAAAGATTAAGGAAATGCGTGAAAAGTGGCTTGAAGTGCAAACCTTTTTTGATGAAAATCACCCTGACACAGTTACTGCAAGCTGTGCTGGTGACTATTACACTGACAATGTTGTGAACCACTTTAGGAAAGTCAAAGAAACGAGAGGTACAGGCCTCTATGGACAGATATGTTGTGCGACAGAAATCCAGTGACTCTCAAGCTGGTCCTAGTGGCATTAAAAGAAGGGAAGTAACCCTGGAAAAGGACTTGCTACCTCAAGTCCTAATGGAAGGGGATTCCCTTTCTAAACACTAACACCATCCACACTCTCCCCTCCTCCCATCCCATCAATCATCACCAGATCTTCATTAACCCTTTCAGGGTCCAAGGCCCAAATCTGGAGTCACGCACCAGTGTCCAAAAATTTTCAAAAAAAAAATTTGTTATTTTTTCTTTTGAAACCGTAGAGAATCTTTTTGTGAAGGTAATAAAACAAAAAGTACGAAATTTGGTGGAAAATTGACGAAATTATGCTCTCGCGAATTTTGATGTGTCAGCGATATTTACGAATCGGCGATTTTGCCGACTTTGACTCCCATTTTAGGCCAATTACATTATTCCAGTCAACCAAATTCTTAGCTATTTCACTAGTATTACTTCTATTCTATCGATTGAGCACAAGAAATCGCCAAGTCAACTGTTTCAACTACAAAATAAAGTGATCGGAAATTGTTAATTTGGCCAATTTAACACAAAGTTCAAAATATTCCAATTTCAAAATAGGGTCCAGAATGAACAATGTAGGCATTCCTGGCACTAAACTAACATTTCCTCTGTTCATTAGTTATGTTTTGAGGCTTTACAAATAAATTCCATTTTGATTTTTTATTCACATAATGAATTTTTATTCACACCAAAAAATAGAAGATTTACTGTTATGCAATACTGTAATAATTGTATAAATATCATCACCATATTTGTGAATGTATATTAGACCCACCAGCTGATGTGTATTAGACGTGTGAGGTCGTTTGTTTACTCTTGAATATCGGCAAAAATTTAACATTTCTGCTACTTTGAGCTCAGTTTCAAGCCATTTCCAGTGCTAAAACCAATCAAAATCATCTCTATTTCTGTAATATGTCTTCCATTCTATCAAATGAGACCAAGAAATCGCAAATACAACTATAAAAAACATACGAAAAAACACTGCAAAGTTGCTGTTTTAATCGAAAAATCATGATTTCATTTTTTTTCTCTCAATATACACAGTGCTGCAGGATCTGTTTTATGTGGTGCACACATACCACATAGATGTATTCTCTCATATCTAGGCCCAAATGTACCACTCACAGTTTATCAGAGTGAGCTGAGCTCATGGCGTAGATCTACGGTTTGGACCCTGAACGTAAAGCCGTAGATCTACGGGACGGACCCTGAAAGGGTTAAAGGTAAGTGTCATTTATTCTATTGTTATTAATCTATTGTTATTGTAATTATTCTATTACATTAAACTTAATATTTCATGTGGTAAATTTTTTTTTTTTTCATACTTTTGGGTGTCTTGCACGGATTAATTTGATTTCCATTATTTCTTATGGGGAAAATTAATTCGCCTTTCGATATTTTCGATATTCGATGAGCTCTCAGGAACGGATTAATATCGAATGTCTGGGGTCCACTGTATATCAAAATATGCCTAAACTATTCATTTATGCACTAAACACAACAATCAGTACTTACCAACATTGTAGAGGGTAAAATATAGGAGTACAGTGGACCCCTGGTATTCGATATTAATCCATTCCTGAGAGCTCATCGAATACTGAAAATATCGAAAAGCGAGTCAATTTTCCCCATAAGAAATGATGGAAATCAAATTAATCTGTGCAAGACACCCAAAAGTATGAAAAAAAAATTTTTACCACATGAAATATTAAGTTTAATGAAATAGAATAATTACAATAACAACAACAACAATAGAATAATAACAATAGAATAATTGACACTTACCTTTAATGAAGATCTGGTGATGATTGATGGGATGGGAGGAGGGGAGAGTGGATGGTGTTAGTGTTTAGAAGGGGAATCCCCTTCCATTAGGACTTGAGGTAGCAAGTTCTTTTCAGGGGTTACTTCCCTTCTTCTTTTAACCCTTTCAGGGTCCGTCCCGTAGATCTACGGCTTTACGTTCAGGGTCCAAACCGTAGATCTACGTCATGAGCTCAGCTCACTCTGATAAACTGTGAGTGGTACATTTGGGCCTAGATATGAGAGAATACATCTATGTGGTATGTGTGCACCACATAAAACAGATCCTGCAGCACACTGTGTATAATGAGAGAGAAAAACTGAAATCATGATTTTTCGATTAAAACAGCGACTTTGCAGTGTTTTTTCGTATGTTTTTTGTAGTTGTATTTGCGATTTCTTGGTCTCATTTGATAGAATGGAAGACATACTACAGAAATAGAGATGATTTTGATTGGTTTTATCACTGGAAATGGCTTGAAACTGTGCTCAAAGTAGCAGAAATGTTAAATTTTTGCCGATATTCAAGAGTAAACAAACGACCTCACACGTCTAATATACGCCAGCTGGTGGGTCTAATATGCATTCACAAATATGTTGATGATATTTATACAATTATTACAGTATTGCATAACAGTAAATCTTCTATTTTTTGGTGTGAATAAAAATTCATTACGTGAATAAAAAATCAAAATGGAATTTATTTGTAAAGCCTCAAACCATAACTAATGAACAGAGGAAATGTTAGTTTAGTTCCAGCAATACCTACATTGTTTATTCTGGACCCTATTTTGAAATTGGAATATTTTGAACTTTGTGTTAAATTGGCCAAATTAACAATTTCCGATCACTTTAATTTGTAGCTGAAACAGTTGACTTGGCGATTTCTTGTGCTCAATCGATAGAATAGAAGTAATACTAGTGAAATAGCTAAGAATTTGGTTGACTGGAATCATGTAATTGGCCTAAAATGGGAGTCAAAGTCGGCAAAATCGCAGATTCGTAAATATCGCTGACACATCAAAATTCACGAGAGCATAATTTCTTCAATTTTCCATCAAATTTCGTACTTTTTGTTTTATTACCTTCACAAAAAGATTCTCTACCATTTCATAAGAAAAAATAAAAATTTTTTTTTTTTAAATTCTTGGACATTGGGGCACCACTTCAGATTTGGGCCTTGGACCCTGAAGGGGTTAATGCCACTAGGACCAGCTTGAGAGTCACTGGACCTCTGTTGCACAACAAATCTGTCCATAGAGCTCTGTACGATTTGTCTAAAATGGGCCACAACATTGTCATTGTAATAGTCACCAGCATGGCTTGCAATAGCTGTGTTAGGGTGATTTTCATCCATAAAGGTTTGCAGTTCAACCCACTGTGCACACATTTCCTTAATTTTTGAAGTAGGCACAATGGATTCCACAACTGGCATAGGCTTCTCAGGGTTAGCCCCAGACCCTTCAAAATCTTTCTTAATTTCTATACTAAGTCTCACCCTTTTTACCACAGGGTTGGCACTAGAAGCTTTCATGGGGACCATGGTGACTTATTTTGCAGAAACAAGCACCAAAAACAGTGATAATATAGAATGTACCGAATGTATCCTTAGATGCGCGCACACTGGCTGGCTTGTAAACACTGGCACACACGGGGCAGTTCAGGCCACACGTGGACACATCTCGTACGAATCGTATCGAATACCGGGTTTTCAATCGGATACCGAGGCAAAACTTTTGTGTTAAAATGCATCGAATACCGGATTTATCGAATACCGATGCCATCAAATACCTGGGGTCCACTGTATATGAGTGTAACTCGAGGAGAAAAACCTCTCTGGGCAACGCCAAGCGAAAAGTGTTTACATTTTTGTCTCTCGACCAATGGGAAGCAAGCAGACGCCATTGCCACTTAGCTGGAGTGACTCACAGAAGGCTTGCGATTGGTCCAAACTAGAAAATGGGAACCCAGATGCACAGAGGGAGTAGGATTACACGCTCAAAAAACATGCTTTCAAGTCAATAAATTTTCCGATCTGCCTGATAAAGGGTTAATTAAGCTGAGAGCTGACTATATCTCCTGGGCCTTTTTTTTAATGTTTCTGTTTATGCTCCACTGGATAGATATGATAGTATCCTTTTCTTTTGCAGGATATCATGGAGAAGGAGCATATATCTTGCTCAGATGAAGCCACAGTGCAAGCCAGGTCACGATCCAAGACCAAGAAGAGAAGGACCTCAACTTCATCCTCGTCGTCGTCCTCGGCCTCTCCGAATCATAGGGAGGTAAAAAAGAAAAGGAAAAGAACAAAGTCTGCATCGTCAAGATCATCTTCGTCATCTTCATCCTCTTCATCATCTTCATCTTCCTCGTCGTCGTCCTCTTCTTCGTCATCGTCGTCATCGTCTTCATCGTCATCGTCCTCAGACTCGTCTGGGTCAGACATGGAAGTGTTTAATGGTAAATTAAAAGGCAAGGCACTCAAAAAAGCCCTAAAGAAAAGGAAAAAGAGAGAAAAGGTTTTGAAGAAAAAACTCAAGAAATGTAAAAAACAAGCAAAGGAGCAGCAGAAAAAGTCTATTAAGAAAAAGGTAAAAAGACTAAGAAAGAAGCTGAAAAAAATGAAGAAAAACAGAAAGAAGGAGACTAAAAAGTTAAAGAAGAAGAAGGTGGTGACCAAAGAGAAGCACAAGTCCGACACCGCAAATCACATCAAGAGCGAATCCAGCAAAGACAAAACTTCAAAGTCTTCTAAGAATAAGACAGACATCACAGAAAATGGTTCATCGTCGGTGGGCCCGAGCATAGACATGATGACTGCAAGCCAGGCCACAATGCCTATGACCAGGGAGGAGTGGGAGAAGCAAGAGAGTGTAATGCGGCGTGTCTATGACCAGGATACTGGCAGGCACAGGTAAGTGCATCATAAACACAGTATTAAAGTGCATGCATATTTTGTATGTTGAACTTGTACTTCAAAATGTATATGTACAGAATGCAGTATGTTTATGTATCTAAGATTGTGTTACCATCTCTTGCAAACACTTCCATGAGGAAATGGTCCAATCATGATAGTATCTAGACAAAATGTGTGGCTTAATACCTTGGTTAGAACAATTCACTGTTAACCCACAATTTAAAAACAGAAACTGATGATGTTTTTCCCCATTCTGAACCATTATCAAGTTACATGGCTTGATGATGTATTATGTTAAACATATGTATAATTGAGAATGTTTGGGTTTATGAAAGACCTTTTTTAGCATGGACCAGTAGGTCTACTGCAGTGCTTTTCTGTTCTTATATTAAATATGGAGACAGCTTGCTGTTGACATATCCTTCCAAACTTTAACATTTTTCTTGTGCTGTGATTAAACATTTTTGGATAAAAAGTTTCAAAGTATGCTGTTATATACCTACCTCTGCTTACTCTACTGTATTGCACTGTGTGGTCCTCATTGCAGAGTTTCAGACTTTTTGGCTACTGACAAATTAATAGGGGCAGTAGTAAGTTGCTGACATGAGAGAATTGCACAGATTATTGGATTATGTAAAGCAGGCCATCCAACATTGGCAATAGTAGAAGCCAGGGATGCGTGTTAGCATCCAGTGAACACTGGTTGCATCAGTTCCTTGAGGATAATATTGATGACTTGCCTACACCAAAAGCACATCCAGTGAAGCCTAGAAAATGTCTCTACTAACTGTAACTGTCATACTGTACCATACCTACAGTTACTCTGTTATCATTTGCCTGTATCCTTCTTGCAATGTAGTGCAATGATTTTTATGCAAGACAGTGCTCTTTGCCACACCACAAAATCTGTTGTTCAGTGTCTTCTTAGACTGTGAGGTGCCCATCTTCAATAACTGGCTAGGAAAAGTCCCCAGGCTTGAACCCCACTGAGAAACTCAGGGCTGTGATAAATAGATCTATTACAGGAATTATATCATCCCACTCCCATAGCTTTAGGATGCCATCCATGAGTCTTTTGGGAAACAAACCATGAAGCCCTGAAGAATATGTTAATTATTGCCTGGATGGTTAAAGGATGTCTTAAAGTGCAAGGGACGACCTATTTTGTGGTGTGGTTTGAGAGGTGGCCAGCATACTTTAATGATGAGTGCTATATTCATTACTGGTATGATGCTTCAGTGTTCTGTTGCAAAGTTTCTAGGAATTTCCTGAGTTTAATGTCAGTGTTACAGTGCAGTGTTTGGAAGTTGTGGATTGAACAATAGCAAGTACGAATTTCATTTACTTTTAGTAGGTTTAGGGATTTGAATAAGGGTATAGTGTGTTGCTTATTGCTAGAGCTTGTAATTACTCTGACAGCTGCCTTTTTTTTTTTTTTTTTCATCAAACCGGCCATATCCCACCGAGGCAGGGTGACCTAAAAAGAAAAATGAAAGTTTCTCTTTTTAAATTTAGTAATGTATACAGCAGAAGGGGTTCCTAGCTCCTTGCTCCAGCATTTTAGTCGCCCCTTATGGCACGCATGGCTTATGGAGGAAGAATTCTGTTCCACTTCCCCATGGCAGTGGAAGTGGAGTTATAGTTGTCTGAGATACAGTATATGGCTGAAGTGGATCCCCAGGTACAGATTCCATATGTGAGGTATGGGTAGATATGGCAGAAGTAAAGTGTTAGGAGTGAGGGTTGAGGAACATAAAAGCAAATTTTGGAGAGTATCCTAACCTTCTGAGACTTTCATTGATGTGTTGGTTATGGGCATCAACTTAGTATTATCTGTTGTGTTGTTTTAGGTGTGTCCAACATTCAGATGCGTGTGGGGTTGTGTTAATAATAATTGGGGATATTATTTATGTGCCTGTTCTTTCAAGAAATTCACAAGCTCTCACACATCAAGCCAATAATGCAACAACAACAGTGAAGAAAAATACTAAAGTTTATATTCAAGAGTGACAGTATGATTATCAGGATCATAAACCCATACATGTGTTCATGCATTTATTGGCTTGAGATTTGTGCTTGTGAAAAATAAGTCATTACCGTGGTCGAAACAGTTCACGATTTGGAGAGGAAATTCTAGATACTGTAATTCCTTGGTACTTCCTGGACTATTATCCAATGATGACTGGCAAGGCTTGATACTGGTTATGGGTGGATTGAAATTTTTAATGTTTATACTACAAATTGTAGGTTAATAATGAATTTATGTTCATAGTGTAGGACTTCTCTACAGGTATTTTTACAAACACTTTACACGAGCTCTAACATCCTTACTGCACCTTCCCTCCTCACTGACGGCCCCATCTTTGACACAGACTCCCTCTTTGACGTCTTGTCAGCAACAGATTTATTATGCCAACTTTTTACTTCTTTTGGCACTCCTCACTGCCCTTATTAACTTTATCCCTGTTATACTCTTCACCCTCGCTTGTCTCTGATCAAGCAGATTACACCTTTAGCACACCCAGCCCTGCAGTGCTGTATGACCCTTATGGGTTTAACACTTAGTTATTATTATAATAATAATACCTTACATGTGTGAATGTGTTAGATAGGAGTGAATGGAGACAAGTGGTTTTTTGGGACCTGATGAGCTGTTGGAGTGTGAGTGGGGTAATATTTTATGAAGTGTAGGAATTGTATTTCCCACCTCCAGGACTTGAGTCCTGGAAGTGGGAAGTACAATGCCTGCACTTTAAAGGAGGTTTGGGATATTGGCTGATTGGAGTGAGATCTTAACTGTTGTATCTGAGCACCTCTGCTAAGACAGTGATTATGTATGAATGATGGTGATTTTTTTTTTTTTGGGGGGGGGGGGGGTCACCCTGCCACAGTGGGAGATGGCCGACATGCTAAAAAAAAAAAATACTTTCATGAACACTTCACAGTGTTACTTACTGTTCCTACATCATTCATATATTGTACAGTGCTCTGTGAATGCAAGGGAATCTTATGCTTCCTCTTCTGTCAAATAAAAAAAAATAAAAAAAAAATTCTGTTTCACTTTAATTTGTAGGTATTAAAAGCCATAATGCAAAGCCAACCTTTATTTTAGACATTTCACTCAATAGCAAGCTTTTTATATTCTGTTTGATGTGAGGTCATAAGTAAAGTTGGTGTTTTCTCTTACAGACTAATCAAGGGTTCTGGTGAAGTGATGGAAGAGTGTGTAAGTCGTGACCGCCATCGTGCTATCAACAAGGCTGCCACACAGGTTGATGGAGAAGTTTTTCAAACCACTGTGAAGTCCCGTGCCTCAAAATAGTCATTGTATGCTATGTAGTGTACATCACTTCTCAGCATTTTGTATGCCATGAAGATAACCTCTTGAGAATGTTTAGAAAACATCAAGGTACATAATTGTTTTCCAGATCACTTCATTTTGTGTTAGTTAAGCAGTGTGCTATTATTTTCACAACAGAATGTTAGGTAAAAGACACAGATGCAACTAATGTGACATTTGTCACATTAGTTGTCAATGTGTAAATGCTTCACTCTCCAGGAGGTTTGTCATGCTGCCTGGAAAAGCAAAACGTTGCCACGATATAATATCACAATAGTTGCATCTGTCTTCTTTTACCTAACATTTCATTTTCACCATTTACCAATAGATCATGAACTAAGATAAACATTTCTCAGAATGTTTTCTTTAGTCTTCTAGATATAATTTCTTGAATGAAGCAAGTCTAATTTAAATTTGGGATTTGTTTAATTATTCCTGTATGATTGATGAGAAAAGCATTTAAATTAAAATTGCATTTTTGGGATTGCTTTGATATTATTTTTTAATATATGTATTGTTTTCCCTTGGTGTTGGACGTTTCCAACAAGTTGTATACATGTACCTTGTGTCTGGTCTCTGAAACATTGATTATCAGAGCACTGAATGTCTATTGTCTCTGGTATAAATGTACTGAACACTTATGAATCTAATGTTTGGCCAGAATGTTTATATGCATCCAGTAGCATCTCAGTTTTTAATGTCAAAAATTTTAGCTTTTTCAGGTGAGATAATGGTATAATGTTTCTGCTATGTTGTTATTTTTGTGTTGTCCTCTGTCTTGTTACCTGTGTACTCTCAAATACATTTACAGGTCTGCTCAGATTAATATGGATACACACTACCTCGGGGAGGGGTCTTATGAAATTGTCTAAAGAATTATTAAAAAATAAACTGATGCTGCAGTTTAAAAACTCTAAATCAGTTTGGTGTACCAGTGAATAGTTACTTTTTTATTAATACATACCAATGACTATTTTCAACCTGTTTTATGTACAGGTACACAACTGATTTTTCAACACCCTTGGTTCCTAAGCCTTGCTGGAATATTGATTTTTGCCATTCAAACAGAGGTCATTTAATAATAATAATAATAATAATAATAATAGTAATAGTAATAATAATTCAACAATACACCTCTGACCCACTAATTACTATACACCTAAGTATTTCATTGTTTCATATATTGTATGGAGAAGTTTATCCCAGTTTTTGAGGGCAGGTTAGGTAGACTAGAGCTGTCCTACTTAACAGTAACTGCATCAAACACATGCTTCCCTTAAGCCTTAAGTGAGTTTTTTTGTTTTTATTTAGTGCCCTCTTGAAATTTTGTCTGGAGCAAAAGAGGTGCCCGAGTATCCATTGTTGGAAAACCGTTGCTGTACCTGTATTTTCAAAGAGTAATTATCAGACATATAATTTTTTCCATGTTTAGTATTAAGACTGTATTTGTATTTAGGTATGTACAGTAAACACTCTTACAAACCTTTTCTGTATAGTGTGATTTTTTTGCAAATGCTATTGATAAAATGGATCCAAAATTTAATAGCACGTACTTTTACCTTTAATTAGTTCCAAGAGTTTTTCTACTCTTGGATTCCGGCATTTGCCAAAAAAGTCACTATATCGAGGAGCTATATAATTGAGCTGACTGTAATACTGTAGCCAAGGAAATTGTGAGGGTACGGTACTTAATTATTTTAATGACTGGAGTGGTGATTATATTTAATCTCAGTAGTGATTTGTTTCAATGGTCAATGTAGATTATACTCAGAGTAACATTGTGCTTATTTATGATGTACTGTGATAGCTCATATTTAAACATTCAGTTATTTGACTCTAACAAAAGAGTAATTGAAAATATGAATGAAGAAGCTGCATGTCTGTATTTGCATACATGCATGTATGCTTGGTGAGTGTATACATGCATGCACATGACAGTCACATAGTGTATAAGATCAGAAAATGATTGAAGTTAGGAGACATAACTTCATGCTCATTAACCCTTAAACTGTCCAAACAGATCTACATTCACATGCGTAGTGCTCCAAAAGTAGATCTATGTTTTTTTACATATTTTCAAATATAACAAAAAAAAAACGTAGATCAAAGTTTTTTTTACACGTTTTCAAATGTAAAAAAAAAAGAAAAAGAAGCTCTACGTTTTTTTACATACTTTCAAATGTTGAAAAAACGTACATCTATGTTTGGACAGTTTAAGGGTTAAAAGTAAAGTATGTTGCAAGTCATTAGACGAGTTTTTAATAAATAAATATTCCCAGAGTAATGCCCTCGTCTTATGGGTGTAAAGCTTCCATAAAAATCAGAAGAAAAGATCAAAATAATGAAAAAATATTCAGGGTATCACTACCATATTGTTCCGTTGAAGAGTTTCGACGGCCTTGAGCAGCTCCTGGTCAATCTCACGCCTGTGACACTGACTACAAGAATGCTTTTATATATGACTTTTTTCATATTAATAAGTTATTTAAATAAAAACTAACATTTATCTCATTTTCGCTAATAAAAATAAGGGAAGGGAGGGGTGGAGGGAGGGTCCTCCCTCACATGTACTTGTTTTTAATTACAAAATACAAGTTTAGCAACAAAACTGATACACATTACAGTACAGTGATACCTCACATATCTGGCCTGCCATTATCCAAACCTCGCCAATATCCGAAAGGGCAAAATTCTAAAATTAGTACCAAACATCCGAACAGTCACTTGGATACATCAGAAGACTGAATCAAACTTGGAGTGCACTTTGATATCAAGATGGTTCATAAGATTATGGCCTACACAAGTGAGTTTTCTGCCCTCAAAAACTGGAAAAAGTGCTGAAAGAAAAGTGATGGTGAAGCCTCAGAGCTTGGAACTTGATTAATGCATGATGAAGTGGTGCCTACAACAACGTGGTAGTGGCATGATGGTTCGTGGCGCCGACGTGCAGGACTGGCTAGTGTGCGACTAAGACGACCCTGGTGTGGAACCTCCTATGGATGCAGAGATTGCAGAATCAGTGTTGTACCCAGAACATTCCAAAAGTGATGACAACGACCCAGTGCCTCCAAGACCAAAAACTTCAGCAGCAAGGGCAGGTGTCAAAACACTTTTGGAGTATTTGGAGCATCCACTGTCCACAGCCTATTTGAAAAGTTATGATCCTGTGGTCCGTGAAATCCGGGAAGCTGTTTTTCAAGCCCGGAGTGTCTGGTCCCACTGCCAGAAGACGTTGGACTCATTTTTTAAACCAACAGTGCCATCACCGATGGCGATATGACCGTATGGATGCGCATTTTTTCCCCGTCATGTATCAGGAAACTTCATGTTTCCGAACTGGTCTCAGCCCATGTAGTTCGGATATAAGAGGTATCACTGTAATTACTGTATGTAATCATGTTCAATCTCCTTTCATTTTCACTAATTATGCAAATAGAAATTGGAGTCCTTCAGACGTGACCATAACGTGTGACTTCCGAGGTGATAAACAACTTGCATGTAAACATTGTCTTCGGCATCTTCACATTTTAGCTCTGATGATGCAGAGGATGCCTGCATTGACTGCTAAGCAGGAAACAGCTAATTTAGTCCCATGTGTTAATTAGGTCTGTGATCCTGAGGACTTGAGTCCTGGTGGTGGGAAGTACATTGACTGTACTCTGAAGGAGGGGTGAAAATATGTTTTGGTTTTTGAACTGTAGTGTCAGCAGGCCTCTGGCAAGACAGTGATGGAGTGAGTGATGATGAAAGTTTCTTCTTTTTCGGGTCGCCCTGCCTCCGTGGGAAACAGCTGATATGCTAAAAATAAAAATGTGAATATCATCAGTTTCTTTTTACATGTATACGAAAACATTGCATGTGTTGACCGGGGATGCAGAAAAAACATGATTTACTCTCATTTATGTAGGTTGAAAATATAACTCTGTCTTAACTGAGATTATACAAACATGTGATAGTTTGAGGAACAGTACCTCATCCTTTCCCTAGTATTTTTTATTTTATCTGTACAATATGATAAAACATAATACAAGAGAAGGCAGTAAATGCTACAACCATAGGAAATCTACTCAAATTATGTAATAGATTATGTATTGAAGACAGGACACCAACAGCATAGCTGTACTCCTGTAGCTACAGTTATTACAGAGACCTGGATGTACCATCTAGCTGGAGAGAGAGAGATGCTGCTCACAGATACTATTTATTCTTCATTGACACATACAGTCCCCTGTAACCACTGTAAGAGCAAGTTTATTTGAAGAACAAAAAGTCACTGTCATGACTGGAACAATGCACAAATAACCCATACATAGGAGAAAGAAACTTATGATGATGTTTTGGTCTTACTTGGACTGTTAATTAGTCACACTAACACATGAAGGTAAGGGAGTTAGGTTTTTTTTTTTTTTAATATCCCAAACCCCTCCTTTAGAGTGCAGGCATTGTACTTCCCATTTCCAGGACTCAAGTCCAGCTATATAAAAATAACCAGTTTCCCTGAATCCCTTCACTAAATATTATCCTGCTCACGCTCCAACAGATCGTCAGGTCCCAAATACCATTCGTCTCCATTCACTCCTATCGAACACGCTCACGCACGCCTGCTGGAAGTCCAAGCCCCTCGCCCACAAAACCTCCTTTACCCCTTCCTTCCAATCTTTTCGAGGACGACCCCTACCCCGCCTTCCTTCCCCTACAGATTTAAATGCTCTCCATGTCATTCTACTTCGATCCATTCTCTCTAAATGACTAAACCACCACAACAACCCCTCTTCAGCCCTCTGACTAATACTTTTATTAACTCCACACCTCTTAATTTAGTATATATACAAATATATTTATTTTGTTTTGTTTAATTATTTATTACAGTACATATCCAACCAGAGATTCCACTGTCAGGAACGTAAACTGTGGATATGGATTATCATTTTGTTGTGAATTTCCCTGTGTATTCAAACAAGCACGTTACCTCAGTGCCACCAAGGCTTCATAAGAAGAGCAATAAGAAGTGAAAGTCGAGTGGGCTTGGGAAGTATGTAGAAAGTTGTTTTTGAAGAATGTCCTTTGTACCTGACAGCTACTATTCTCATATAAGTGTCCCAAACACTGATCAAGGAAATGGTAAATCCCACATGGATAGGAAGTATAACACAGAGTGGAATTAATTTATGCAAAGTTGCCTGAATCAGAGGTCCCTCATCTCTAATTGAGTCCAGTGTATGCAGATCCTTTCCATTCCATTTTACTTTCCATCTATCATATATGGGATTTGCCATTTCATCACAGCTTCTGTTTTCATATGTGATTTTTTTTGTTTCATTTAATAATTTCAGTATTAATACACCAGCTGTTACTAGAAGCTTATCCCTTAAGTAGACTAGTTCTTCTTCATGAGTGGATGTCACGTTAGTTCATCGTGGGATGTTATATATGTCTGTGTATCAGTAATATAAACCATTGAGAAAGGTGACTGGAGAGACAGACAATATTTTATCCTGCATCCAAGGTCTTCAAAATAGTGAGTGTGGTGGTGGGGAAGGTATGCACTTATAACCCTTCAACTGTCGAGACCCCAAATTCTGAAATCTCTCTCTTTGTAACAAAATATTAAAAAAAAAAATATTTTTCTTATGAAATGATAGAGAATGTTTCCCCGATGGTAATGACACCAAAAGTACGAAATTTGATGGAAAACTTAGGAAATTACGCTCTTGCAAAGTTAGTGATATCGGCGGTATTTACGCATCAGCGATTTTGCCCACTTTGAGCTCTAGTTTTGGCCAGTTCTATTGTTCCAGTCGACTAAAATCATAGCTATTTTGCTAGAAACTGCCCATTTACAGATTTCAGCTACCCAATACAGTATAGTCAGAAATTGGCAATTTGGCCAGTTTTATGTAAATTAAAAAAGATGCCATTTTCAAAATAGGGCCCAGAATAAACAGTGCAGACATTTCTGGCACTAAAAGAACATTTTCTCTGTTCATTAGTCATGTCTCCAGGACCCTCTTATATTACTCTTGCTTTCTATTTTGAATTCTTATTCACACAAAAAATAGATTTACTGTTATGCAGACTACTGCATTATTGTAATAATTGTATAAATAATGTCAACCCATTCATGACTGCATACATAGAATGACTAGTTGGACACTTATTGGACATGTGACAATTTGTTTACTCTTGAACATCGGCAAAAATTGAACACTTCCGCTACTTTGAGCTCGATTTCAAGGTCCTTTTTATCATGAAACCAATCAAAAGCATCTCTATTTCTGTAATATGTCTTCCATTCTATCAAATGAGACCAAGAAAATGAGAATACAACCATAAATACTATACAAAAAAACACCTCAAAATCGGCAGTTTAATCCAAAAACACGGTCGGAGTTTTTTTTCTCATTATACACTGCGTGCTGCAGGATTTTTTTTTATATTGCACGCACTGACCACACAGACCCATTCTCTCACATGTAGGCCTACCAGCTTTCTCCTGCTTGATTTGAAGCCTCTAGAATTTTGGCATATTAATACGTCACCGACGCTGGCTCATAAGACGTATATATATGACACCGACATTCAAAGGGTTAAAGTGACAGGAGAGAAGTCGCCTGTGAGTCAGTTCAAGTGACTTCCTTTGGGGGTAAACTTGAGCTATTTATCACTAAATAACAAAAAGGCACAGTACTGTAACTGGAACAATACACAACCTGCACATAGAAAGAAACTTATGATGACATTTCAGTCTGACTTGGACCATCAACTAGTCATATGCCGTGTGACTAGTTAATTATGAAGACAAAGATAAAATTTATTTCTCTGCAAAGGTTACAATGTGTTTTACATTTTATATATGTTGTTAGGTACAAAGAAAGCCACTAACATGCCAAGGCATTTCGGGCAGACTAATTCCAATACTTACAACCAGAAACATGATATGTTTCTCCTATATGTGGATTATTTGCATACTATTAACCCTTAAACTGTCCGAACTTAGATCTACATTGATGTGTGTAGCACTCCGACCTTGATTTTCTTCATTTGAAAGCATGTAAAATCGTAGATCTATGTTCAGAGCACTACGCACGTCAATGTAGATCTATGTTCGGACAGTTTAAGGGTTAACACTTTCACTGTCGGTGACGTATAGGTACAGCTTACAAGTCAGTGTTCCTCATGTATTAATACGTCAAAATTCTAGCGGCTTCAAATCTAGCAGGAGAAACTGACAGACCTACATGTGAGAGAATGGGTCTGCGTGGTCAGTGTGCGCATTATAAAAAATCCTGCAGCACGCAATGCATGAGAAAAAAAAAATGACCGTGTTTTTGGTTTAAAACACTGACTGAGGTGCATTTTCATATGGTATTTATGGTTGTATTCTCATTTTCTTAGTCTCATTTGATAGAATGGAAAGTATATTACAGAAATAGAGATGATTTTAATTGGTTTCACGATAAAAAGTACTGTACCTTGAAATATAGCTCAAAGTAGTGAAAACGTTTGATTTTTGCCGATGTTTAAGAGTACATAATACATGTCCAACTGGCCAGTCTAATATGCAGTCATGAATGAGTTGACATTATACAATTATTACAAAATGCAGTAGTCTGCATAACAGTAAAACTTCTATTTTTTTATGTGAATAAAAATTCAATATGGTAAGTAAGAGTAATATAAGAGGAGCTGGAGACATGACTAATGAACAGAGAAAATGTTATTTTAGTTCCAGGAATGTCTGTACTGTTTATTCTGGACCCTATTTTGAAATTGAGTTTTTGAAATTTGTGTGAAATTGGCTAAATTGCCAATTTCTGACCACTTTATTGGGTAGTTGAAAATGGTAAATGGGCAGTTTCTTGTACTCAATCAATAAAACAAATGCAGTTCTAGCGAAATAGCTATGAGTTTGGTCGACTGGAACAATGGAATTGGCTGAAAATAGGGCTCAAAGTGAGCAAAATTGCCGATGGATATATATTGCCAAGACTGCTAACTTCATGAGAGTGTAACTCCATAAGTTTACCATCAAATTTTGTACTTTTGGTATCATTACCATCGGGAAAAGATTCTCTATCATTTCATCAAAAAAAAAATTTTTTTTTTTTTAAATTCTTCAACACAGAGCAAGTTTGTGAGCAGGGGTCTCGACAGTGAAAGGTTAATCACTATAAATCAGCTACCTCCTCTACATATGCTCTGCTGAAGGTTGCCTCAGATGCAGGCTTAACCTTTAAATTGTCCAAACGTAGATCTACGTTCACTCGTGTAGTGCACTGAACGTAGATCTACGTTCCATTTTACATGCTTTCTTATGTAAAAAGAATGTAGATCTATGTTCAGAGCACTATCGAAGTGAACGTAGATCTATATTTGGACAGTTTAAGGGTTAAATGTTCAGTTAGTCTTCATGATTATTTTCACACATGATGAGTTTATGCTTATAATTTGCATAACAGGCAAAATATTTGCAAACATTATAAGCATTCTAATGTGTGTCTAGTTTAGTGCATGGGAAAGGAGATGAAAAATTAATCTGCAGCCTCGTGCTACTGACTGGAGCAAACACATAGTTTGCTGGGCATCAGAGTTGTGTGTACTCTGGCTTCTTGTGGATAATACTGCGTAGTCTGTCCCAAAGTTTGTAGGTTTCCACCTACTTTGGCCTGAGATAAATGCTGGTTTTATATCAGATTGACCAGTACACTCCTGCACTGTGTTTGCATTTGTCTGTAGATTTTAATGAAGCTTTCCTTCTGTGAATGACTTTTTCCTGAGAAAGATGGCTCTTGTGGCATGGTTTTAACAACTTCATGTCAAGATTTTTGAAAAGTGCTAATCTTAGCCCATTTGAGTATAGCATTATTTTGTAAAGTTTGTAAGAAATGGTTGTTTTGCATCTGTTTTATAGGTTTTCAGCTAAACTGTTGCAATTAAGAACTAAAGCATGTAAAATACTGAATTCATTCATAAAATAACTCTTCATATACATTATGCATCTAGAAAAACTTTCATAATACTATGGCTTAAAGTACAGTTTAATACAGAAAATTCAGAATATGCAAAAAGTAACAATTCAGTGGAGTGCTTGGGATTTAAACCTGTATTCCAGGCATCCCAGACTACAGGTTTGAATCCCAGTCACCCCATTATTTGTTTCTGCTGTGAGATCATGCCATTGTATCTCAATGTTTTTTTTTTTTTTTTTACCTGTTAATAATATGAGAAATCTTCTTAGATAATCCACAAATTGGAGAAACTAGATGATGATTTGATCCATTTTGAACTGTGTATTGTCAAGTTGACTTGATAATGGGCCAAGATGGAGTGAAATGTCCTCTAGTCTTTTATCTAATTTATGGTAAATTGTGGGTTGTTGCAGCACAGTATTGTGACTTATTCTTTAGGAGAAGTATTCCAATTCATTAACAGAATATTAGTGTATACAGAACAGGTTGAAAATAATTATAATGTGTACAGGACTATCACACTGTAGTAAGGTATTGTACATTAAATTAAAAAATATATATACTTTTCTTTCTTTTTAACATGTTGGCAATCTCCCACTGAGGCAGAACAACCCACCCCCTCAAAAAAAAAAAAAAAAAAAAAAAAAAACTTTCACCATCATTCACACTATCACTGTCCTTGCAGAGGTGCACAGATATGACAGTTTAGATGTCACACTAAACAACAAATATCCTAGATGTCACTCTAAACAGCAAATATCCCAAACCCCTTCTTTAAAGTCCAGGCATTGTACTTCCCATCTCCAGGACTCTAGTCCGGCTAACCAGTTTCCCTGAATCCCTTCACAAAATATTACCCTGCTCACACTCCAACAGCTCATCAAGTCGCAAAAAGCATTCGTCTCCACTCCTATCTAACACTCACACATGCCTGCTGTATGTCCAAGCCCCTTGCACACAAAATCTCTTTTATCCCCTCCCTCCATCCTTTCCTAAGACAACCCCTACCCCTCCTCCCCTCCACAGATTTATACATGCTCTAAGTCATCCTATTATGCTCCATCCTCTCTAAATGACCAAACCACCTCAACAGCCCCTCATCAGCCTAGTAACTCCACACCCTTAATTTCCACACTATGAATTCTCTGCATAATATTTATACCACACATTGCCCTTAAACACAGCATCTCCACTGCTTCCAGCCTCCTCCTTCCTGCAACATTGACCGCCCATGCTTCACACCCATATAAGAGTATTGGTACCACTATACGAACTCTCCTCACTTAACAGAATTCCATTCCTAAGACCACATTGGTAAATGAATTCATCGCTAAGTGAGGAGCATACTATAATGGTAGTGGGTTTGCGTTTACCATCTTTCATATTGTTTTAATGTCCCCTTTGCACCATTTATAACAATTCTGCTAAACAACAACAGACATAGCCCCACTCCACAAAGGGGGACAGTAAAGCAATAGCAAAGAACTACAGACCGATAGCACTAGCATCCCATATCCTAAAAATCTTTGAAAGGGTTCTAAGAAGTAAGATCGCCACTCGTCTAGATAGCCGTCAGTTATACAACTCAGGGCAACATGGGTTTAGAGCAGGTCGCTCCTGCCTGTCCCAACTATTGGACCACCATGATGAGGTTCTGGATGCTCCAGAAGACAAACAAAATGCAGATGTAGTGTACACAGACTTTGCAAAAGCCTTTGACAAGTGTGACCATGGTGTAATAGTGCACAAAATGTGTGATAAAGGAATAACAGGAAAAGTTGGTTGATGGATCTATAATTTCCTAACAAATAGAACACAGAGTAGTAGTAAACAGAATAAAGTCTGAGGCGGCTACTGTGAAAAGCTCTGTTCCACACAGCACAGTACTCGCTCCCATCCTGTTCCTCATCTTCATATCTGACATAGACAGGGATGTAAGCCACAGCACCATGTCTTTGCAGATGACACCCGAATTTGCATGACAGTGTCCTCCATTGAAGACATTGTAAGACTCCAGGCAGACATCAACCAAATCTTTAAACAGGCCGTGGAAAACAATATAAAGTACAGTGATGAGAAATTTCAAATTTGCACACGAAAATTACTCCCTATGAAGCATACAAGGTATGTACGAAGCATGTACCATTGAGGAAACCCAGATGATGATTAGATATAGAGAGTGTAGGAGATGATACAGAAGAATAAAACAGATTACTGAATTGCTTAAAAAAAAAAAAATGCAGCAACAGAGGAAGGACAGTCTTAGCCAAGAGATCAGTGAATTTGAGCAAAAACTTAGGATGTCATACCTAACAGAAGTACAAAGGGCCATACCGGATATTGCAAGAAACCCAAAATATTTCTATGCAAAATCCAAGCTAAGGACTATAGAATTGGACCATTATTGAGAGGAGATTCATATACTAACGATTAACAGGAAATAAATGAAATCCTAAAAGAACAACAGTATGAGTCGGTGTTCAGCAACCCACTAAATGACAGCAACGTAGAGAATGAAGAAACATTTTTTCACTCCAGCAGAAAGCTGCACAGACCAACTGACATAGTACCAACCCACAGATTTTGAAAAAGAAATGGATAACGTGTCCACTCACTCAGCACCTGGACCAGATTCATGGAATGCTCTATTTAGAAGTGCAAAGTACCACTAGCACAAGCTCTCAGTATTCTTTGGAGAAAGAGCTTAGATCTAGGCAAAATACCAGAGACCTTAAAGAGTGCAGACAGCTCCTTTACATAAGGGAGGTAGAGCACGAGCTAAACATTACAGACCAGTAGTCCTAACTTCACACATCGTAAAAATCTTCAAAAGAGTCATGAGACAGCAGATTACAAATTTCATGGACAAGCACAACTAGCATAACCCGAACCAGCATGATTTTAGAGCAGGACGATCATGCCTGTCACAGCTGCTGGACCATTATGACAATTATGGAGGCGTTGGAAAATGACCAAAATGCTGAAGTGATTTACACAGATTTTGCAAAGGCATTTGACAAATGCTACCATGGAGTGATAGCACACAAAATGAGGGCCATGGGCATTACTGGGAAGGTAGGCAGATGGATTTTTGGGTTCCTAACACACACAACACAAAAAGTAGTAGTAAACAAAGCAAGATCCAGCATCAGCAAGATAAAAAGTTGTTCCCCAAGGCACTGTCCTGGCACCTCTGCTGTTTCTCATCCTCATAGCAGACATACATAAAAATATCCATCACACTTATATATCATCATTTGCAGACACTAAAATAAGCATGAAAGTCACTACGTTAGAGGACACTGAAAAATTACAGGATGACATACGCCGGGTTTTCCATTGGGCAGTGAAGAACAGAATGATGTTTAATGGTGATAAGTTCCAGCTGCTTAGGTATAGAAAGAATGAAGAACTCAGAAGGAACACTATGTGCAGAACTCAAGAGCATCACCAAATAGAATGAAAGGAACATGTAAAAGACCTGGGAATAATTATTTCAGCTGACCTTTATTTTAACCCTTTCACTGTTGAGAGCCCTGCTCACAAACTTGCTCTCAGTGTCGAAAAATATTAAAAAAAAAAAAAAAATGATATTTTCTTAACAAAATCTTAAGAATAATTTTCTGAGTGTTATAAAAGAAAAAAAATTGCAATCAGTAGTTACCGAGCTATAGAGGTGTGAAATTGACAGAAAGTGAACCACTTACAGCAACATCGGTGACTGCTGCTCACTCGGTAATATTATTTATACTTTTATTCTATTTTTATTTAATAATATTGTATTTTTTCAAGTAACTTTTGTGGCCTGTGAGACCAATATAATGCATAATGTATATAGGTATATCCACTCGACGTATGCAGCACACTAACCACACAAATATTATCATATATTGTTTACAAAACTTGTTTACACAAACCCACGCTGCCTTCCCCACCACCCACGCTGCCTTCCCCACCACCCACGCTGCCTTCCCCACCACCCACGCTGCCTTCCCCACCACCCACGCTGCCTTCCCCACCACCAACGCTGCCTTCCCCACCACCCACGCTGCCTTCCCCACCACCAACGCTGCCTTCGCCACCGCCCACGCTGCCTTCGCCACCACCCACGCTGCCTTCCCCACCACCCACGCTGCCTTCTCCACCGCCCATGCTGCCTTCCCCACCACCCACGCTGCCTTCCCCACCACCCACGCTGCCTTCCCCACCAAACATGCTGCTTTCTCCACCGCCCATGCTGCCTTCCCCACCACCCACGCTGCCTTTCCCACCACCCACGCTGCCTTCCCCACCAAACAGCTGCCTTCCCCACCACCCACACTGCCTTCCCACCACCCACGCTGCCTTCCCCCACCCACCCCCACCATGCCTTCCCCACCAAACATGCTGCCTTTCCTCCACCACCCACACTGCCTTCCCCACCGCCCATGCTGCCTTCCCCACCACCCATGTTGCCTTCCCCACCACCCACCACTGCCTTCCCCACCACCCACCACTGTGCCTTCCCCACCACCCACACTGCCTTCCCCACCCCCATGCTGCCTTCCCCCACCACCCATGTTGCCTTCCCCACCACCCACACTGCCTTCCCCACCACCCACGCTGCCTTCCCCACCAAACATGCTGCTTTCTCCACCGCCCATGCTGCCTTCCCCACCACTCCACAGCTGCCTTCCCCACCACCCACCCTGCCTTCCCCACCACCCACGCTGCCTTCCCCACCAAACTGCTGCTTCTCCCACTGCCCATGCTGCCTTCCCCACCACCCACCCTGCCTTCCCCACCACCCACGCTGCCTTCCCCACCAAACATGCTGCTTTCTCCACCGCCCATGCTGCCTTCCCCACCACCCACGCTGCCTTCTCCACCACCCACGCTGCCTTCCCCACCACCCACGCTGCCTTCCCCACCACCCACGCTGCCTTCCCCACCACCCACGCTGCCTTCCCCACGACCCACGCTGCCTTCCCCACCACCCACGCTGCCTTCCCCACCACCCAGCTGCCTTCCCCACCACCCACGCTGCCTTCCCCACCACCCACGCTGCCTTCCCCACCACCCACGCTGCCTTCCCCACCACCCACGCTGCCTTCCCCATCACCCACGCTGCCTTCCCCGTCACCCACGCTGCCTTCTCCACCCACGCTGCCTTCCCCACCACCCACACTGCCTTCACCACCCACGCTGCCTTGCCCACCACCCACACTGCCTTCCCCATCACCCATGCTGCCTTCCCCACCACCCACACTGCCTTCCCCACCACCGACACTGCCTTCCACACCACCCACACTGCCTTCTCCACCACCCACACTGCCTTCCCCATCACCCATGCTGCTTTCCCCACCACCCATGCTACCTTCCACACTGCCTTACCCACCACGCACGCTGCCTTCCCCACCACCCACGCTGCCTTCCCCACCACCCATGCTGCCTTTCCCACCACCCATGCTGCCTTCCCCACCACCCACACTGCCTTCCCACCACCCACGCTGCCTTACCACACCCATGCTGCTACCACCACCATGCTGCCTTCCCATCACCCATGCTGCCTTCCCCACCA